GCCCTCCTCCACTACCGTCCTTCGCCTCCCACCTCCCTCCTACCCCCCCCCCCCTCCCCACCTCCTCTCCTCTTCCCTCCCTCCTTCCCTTCCCTCCCTCCCTCTCCCCCTTCCTCTCCCCCCTCCCACTTCATTCTGTCTACCTCCCACCAGCTAACATACCGAAGGAACGACATGGTCGACGAGAAGTCTACCAAACTCCAATGATTTCATTTCATTCAGTTTGGCAATGGCGGCTTACTCTTCGACATCAAGCTCCACACACAACAGCCGCGATCCGTCATCCGCCACGAGACCAGCTGCTTCTAGAACGGCTCCAACATGGCAGACTGTAACTGGAAGTGAGAGCGGGCCGATGGCAGCAGCATTAGCGTGGGCCGCGAGGAGCGCGTAGTCCTCGAGAAGCCAGACAAAGAGTCGGGCATGGTGGGTCGACGGGGCGAGCGCTGCTGTTAGCGCGTCGATGATGCGGGTGCGGAGGCCGGCGGCAACCAAAGCTGGTGCGCTAGCTGCAGTTTCGGACTGGCTTGGCTTGGCGCCGGGGGCAGTGTACCAGAACTGCGGCGGGAGGTTGCGCTCCATGAAAAACTCAAACTGCTCCATCAGCGGAGCGTAGAGTGGGAAGCGTCCGGCGAGACCTGCGCCGGGTCGGCGGTCACAGAGCGGCGAAGCCCAGTGTCCGTGGCCGGCAACAGCGACGCTCAAACTACCGAGGCCGTCACAACTCTCGATGACCGCGACTCGCGCATCAGCGGCAAGCCGCTCAAACACCCGATCAAACGACTGCAACAGGAGCGGTGGAGGAAGCTCGCCGACCGGCCGGTCGTCCATCCAATCGTCAAACGAATCGCGGTCGAGGAACGGCCAAAACCCGTCACCGTTCTCGCCAGCAGCGGCTGCCACCGTGTCTTTGTAGCATTGAGCGAGGCAGCGTGCTGTCACCCCGTCCAGCGAGCCCACCGCCACTGCAGAGTCCGGTGGCGCAAAGGTGGCAGCTCGGAAGAGCCGCGAGAGCGTGAGCATGATCTGGTCTGGCACTAGATCCCCGCCAGCGTCGATGTGTGCGCAGAGCCACAAAGGTCCAAACGCAAGGCCGCCGCGCGGGGCAGCATCGTCGCCGGCCACAAGCTCCACCACTTGGTCGCGGACCTGCGATGCGGCGTCCGACCCGAGCTCGACCCGCGTGATGCAGATCATGAGCTCGAGAGCAGCCTCATGTCCCGCATACAGCCCGTCCAGATATTGCAGACGGGACCGCAGCGCGGCGGCGGCGGCGTCGGGGCTCTCTGCCCATTCGGCGCCGTTGACAAAGTAGACTGCCGACGCCACCGAGCTCAGCATGGCGCGCGAGGTGGCGACCAGCTCGAGCAGGCCGGGCTCGGGCGCAGCTGCCAGCTCGTCGTCACTGGTCATGATGCGGTCAAGATGGTCCCCGCCGATCTCCACAAACTGGATGGCCACGTATCGGTCCGCGGCATCCAGGTCAGTGACCAGCGCGGGATCGAGGCCAAACTCGGCCACAAAGAACGCAAAGGTCTCGAGCGTGACCAGGAGCGAAGCCCGTCCTAGATCGGTGTCGAGAAACGGCGGTTGGTCGCCCGGGCCCAGGCTGGACCTCGGACCAGCCGACGATAGCACGCGCGAGTTGACAAACGACGCCGAGAGGAACGGGAGCCACGAGGTGAGGGAGAGAAAGGCCTTGTCCGCCGACGCCGACCACGCGTGGAGGAACGTTGACTTGCCGGCGTTCTGATCGCCCACCACCAGGAACGAGTACACGGCTGTCCCAGCCGCAACCACCGTCGCAAACGGCGACTCGGTCTCCAGCACATCCTCGTGGCACAGATCAGGATGTGCGTATCGGCTCTCCTGAACAAACCCGCACGTCGTCATACTCACGCCTGGGAAGCCGCGCTCTGCGAGCACCTCCTCCCACCCTCTGCCGTCTTCATCACCACCACCACCACTCATGCCCACTTTACGACGACTGTAGCTTCTCACCACCAGCTACGACGACTGTAGCTTCTCCATGAGACCCCCCTCTCCTCCTCTCCCCTCCCCCCCCCCCCCCCCCCACCCCCCCCAGCCAACCTGATCAATTCCCGATCGATCACACACGCCCGTCGCGCCGGCCGCGCCTCCTCCCCGCCCGCCGTTTTCCTTGCCTTTCCCCTCTCCCCCACCCTCCCCACTAACGACGTACTCCACGCTCACTACCCCTCTCCCCCCCCCCCCCCCACCCCCCCACTACTCCACCCCCCACCACCTACCCCACACCAACCTCTCTCTCCCTCTTCGTCCTCTCCCTCTTGGCAATGTCGTCGCAGCGCCGTGGCTCGCACCAAGTGGTGGCCAGCGCGGAAACGCCGCTAACCTCGACCGAGGCTGTCGAGTGGCTCAAGCAGCGGCTGGACTTGCTGCCAGGCTACGATGAGGACCGGTTTGGGCAAGGCCACTACAACGTGCTGCTGCACTTTCTCTCTTCCCATGGCGCCGCTACTGCATTTGCCTACATGGACGAGGTCCCACCGCGGACCGAGCCTGCAACGTCTGGCGCGGCCAGCGAGACGACCGGCCCGGCCGGCCCGTCGGGCGCGTCGTCGACCGGCCTCTGGCTCCACGTCGTCAACTCGCTGCCGAACGACTTTTCGCTGCCGACGCTCTCGCGCTCGCCGGTCCTTCTGTACTTTGTCAAGCGCGACGCGTCCGAGGCAGCGCTGAGTGCCGGAGCTGGCGAGCCCGATGGCGAGCCCGCGCCGCACGCCGGGGCATCCAGCAACGTCGTCATCTGGTCACCGGCCCGCCTCCGGGCCTCCATCCAGTACGGGACCGTCCGCAAGTCGGCGCTTTCCTCGCTCCTCTCGTCGATGCAGGCTGTCCACATTCCGCGCTTCCTCACCCACAACCCGTGGCCGTCGTCGGTCCAGCGCGAGTTTGCTGACAAGCTCCACCGCTTCATGGCCTCGCTCACCGAGACTTCGTCGGCAGTCAACTCGTCGACCATTCTGTACGTGCCGCGTGAGAACGTGGCCGATCCTGCAACTGCTGCGGCCGACAAGGACCTCGTCCAGCGGCTGCAGACTGCGCTTGTCCACTGGACCCGGCAGATCAAGACTCTGCTCTCGTCGTCCAACGCGTCGAATGCACTCTCATCGCAAGGCCCGCTCGAGGAGCTTGAGTATTGGCGGCTTCGTGCGCTCGATCTCTCGTCGCTTGAGCGCCAGCTCAACTCGCCGGGCGTCCTTGCCATCGTCAAGGTGCTCGAGGTCTTCCAGTCGTCGTACCTCGACGAGTTCCGGACGTACGCCGGCAAGATCGAGTCTGAGGCTGCTGTCTCGCAGAACAATCTCAAGTATCTCTCCGCGCTTCGCGCCCCGTGCGAGGCGCTTGCGCTCGCGTCGCCCAAGGAGCTGCCCTCGATTCTCCCGTCGGTCCTCAACGCCGTCCGGCTGATCTGGTTCATTTCTGGCTACTACAACACTCCGCAGCTGATGGCCAACCTCCTCTCCAAGATTTCGAACGAGGTCATCAACCGCTGTGCGTCGGCAATCTCGGTCGACGACATCTTCCGCGGCGATGTGTACGCCGCCATGGACGCGCTCAACGACTCGATTGCGGCCAGCAAGGCGTGTCAGGACCAGTTTACCACCCTCCACCGTCGCCTTGTTCGCCTCACCCGGCACGAGCCGCGCAAGTGGGAGCTTACCGACTACACCACCATCTTTGCCCACGTCGACGCCTTTATCCAGCGCTGCGCTAACCTCCTCGAGGTCTGCGAGTCGCTCGTCCAATTTGGCCGCAAGGCTCGCGGCGGCCGTGTCCGCCCGCTGCCGGCCTTTGGTGGCACCCGCGGACCACAGATTGCCCACCAGCTCGAGGGCATTGAGGCCGCCTTTAACGAACTCGCCGATAAGCTCTTCCACAAGCCGTACGACATGCGCGACGTCAAGGTCACCGAGTGGCACGAGGACTTTCCGGCTTTCAAGGAAGGCGTCAAAGACCTCGATCGCATGTACCAAAACGTCATCAACTCGGCATTCTCGTCGGTCTCGACCGTCGCCTCAGGCATGGAGCTGCTCGAGGTCTTCTCCTCGCTCGCCACCCGCGACTCGATTGTCCACACTGTCATGCTCTGCGAGGAGACGGTGTACACGCTCTTTGCCGCCGATCTCAACGCGGTCAAGCACCACTTTGACTCGCTCAAGCGCTCGCCGCCGCTCCACTCGGACCATCCGCGCTACTCGGGTGCTGCCATCTGGACCCGCACGCTGCAGAACCGCGTCAAGTCGCAGTGGCTGGCCATCAAGAACGCCACCTTTCTCAATAACCGCGCTCGCATGGCCGAGCTGGAGTCGCAGTACGCCGTCTTTGTCAACGCGCTTGAAGAGTACATCAACAAGCTCTTCCTCGACTGGAAGATCTCCGTTGAGGACCTCGGTCCACTCACCACCATGCTCGAGTCCCACTTGCTGAAGCGCGATCCCGGCTCACGCCTTCTCACTCTCTCGTTCCCGGCTCCGCTCCTTTCCATCTTTGCCGAGGTCTACTACTGGGAAAAGCTTCGCCGGACCGACGTGCCGGCGACGTGCCACGACATCATCTCGCAGCGTGACGCGCTTCGGGTCCTTCGCGCCAACGTTGCCCTCGTTGTCTCGGACTACAACGACATTCTTTCGTCGCTCACCCCGCGCCAGCTGGCGCTCTTCTCCGAGCGCATCATGGTCCTCGACCGCCGCATTGCCCACGGCATCAAGACCCTCACCTGGGAGTCGGCCGGCTCCATCCTTGAGTTTACCCGCGAGTGCCGCAAGCAGGCCGCCGGCGTTGCATCGGTCGTCTCCGAGTACAAGGGCAACGAGGCGGCGATTAAGGAAAAGTGCCGGCTCATTGCCGTCAACCCGCTCGTCCTCATTGGCAAGACCAAGTACGAGGTTGCTCGCTTCGCCACTCGCCAGGCCGAGTACCAGGCTCTCGTCCGCGAGCAGCTCGTCACCCGCCATAATGAGATCCGCGACCTGCTCATTGCCACCTACGACGCCTTTAAGGACGACTCGCAGACGGTCCAAGATGAATGGGATGCGTTTGTGGAGGAGGTCGACTCGTGGGTGCTTGAGTCGCTCTCGGCGACTGTCAAGACCTCGCTGCTCAAGATCAATGCCGCCACCTGTGGCTCCGGCCCGGGCGCCCCGCCGGTCTCGCCGCTCTTCTTTATGCACGCCGACCTCGACGACTCGATCCAGCCGGTCTTTGTGCCTTCGCTTGACGAGCTCATCAACACAGTGCTTGTTGTGGAAAAGAACATCATCGAGTGCGTCTCGGTTGTGCCGCGCCTCTACGGCACCATCCGCCCACTCTTTGCCGTTGCGTCGGACGACGAGGCCGACGATGACGACGCGAGTGGCGACGGCGGCTCGTTCTCGCGGGCGCGCGACGGCGGCTCGTTTGACCGCCGCGCCGCTGCTGCCGCCCGCGCCGCCGCCGCCGCCGCAGAGGCATCAGCAGCGGCCGCTGCGCCAGGCCCATCGTCCGGCCCCAGCGCCGACGATGGCGATGCGAGTAGCGTGGCTTCGCGCGAGAGCGGCGACTCTACCGACGACATCGTCGACGACGACGACGAGACCTCGTTCTACGCCATCATCGCCTCGACCGAGGCCTACAAGCAGCTCATTCACTCGACGCTCACCTCGATGTCGTCGATCCGCGAAAAGCTCGAGGCGTTGCAGAACGAGTGGAAGAAGAAGTACCGCGCCATTCTCCACGACCAGCAGCGCAACTTTATCCAGCGTTACCGGACCCAGCAGTCGCGCTCGCTCTCGGCCTTTGACACTCACATGGGTCTCTTCCGCCAGCTCGACAACAACATCATCCAAGAGTACGAGCAGGTCCAGGTCGACTTTGTGCAGCTTGTCTTTACCGCTCTCAAGGCCAGGTGCCGCACGCTCTGTAAGAACTGGCAGGAGGAGCTGACGGGCGTGCTCAACGAGTTTGCGCTCACAGAGCTCAACGCGCTCACCGCATACTACGCCGACAACACGGCGGCGCTGGCCAAGAAGCCCGAGACGCTTGCACAGCTCTCGTACGCCCTCGAGCTGTACAGCAATGTCTCGCAGGAGCAGCCGACTGTTCAGGCCCGGTTCGGTCCGCTGCAGGAGCAGTACGATGCGCTCACGCGGTACGAGGTCGATGTGCCTCCGGCCGAGCTGGCGGCGCTGGCGGCGCTTCCGGCAGCGCACGCTTCGTTCCAGGAGACACTGGTGCGGACCAAGGACTCGCTCGCCGAGCACAAGGAGTCGTTTAAGGCCGACCTCCGCCACTCGGCCGAGGAGTTTGTCGCCAAGGCCGAGACGCTGCGGGCCGACTTTCTCGCCCGCGCGCCGTTTGGCGCTAACTACGATGTCGACACGGCGAATCGACTCGTCGCCGAGTTTACCGCTGCGCTCGACGAGCTGCGGACCCGTGAGGTGGAGCTTCGCGAGGGACTGGCCATGTTTGACATCGACTGGCCGCCGTCGAAGGACATTGCGGCTACTGCGCGCGAGCTCGACTGGCTGACCAAGATTTGGGAGCTGACCACCAAGTGGAACCGGTCGTGGAAGACATGGAAGTCGATGAAGTTTGCTTCGCTTGTTGTCAAGACCATTCCCACGGTTCTACTTTCTCTCCGACGACGAGCTCCTCGAGATCCTCGGCTCGACGTCGGCGTCGTCGGGCGACGCGCCCGGAGCGTGTGGCCCAGGTCAAGGACACCATGCCGCTCATCACCGACCTCAAGAACCCGGCCATCCGCCGCCGTCATTGGCTCATTCTCATGGACGAGGTCGGCGCCGTATTTGACCCGGCGTCGGACGACTTTACGCTCGAGCGCATCATTGCCCTTGGCCTTGACCAGTACCGCGACATCATTGCCCAGCTCTCGCTCTCGGCTACCAACGAGCTCGCCATCGAAAACGAGCTCAAAGCCATCGAGACGGCGTGGGCAGCGACGACGCTCACGCTCGAGCCGCACAAGGCCGACCACTACCGAGTGGTCAAGACCGACGAGGTGTTTGCGCTACTCGAAGAGCACATGATCTCGCTCTCGCACACCAAGTCGTCGCGGTACTACGCCGCCTTTCAGCCGCAGGTCGAGCACTGGGAGAAGACGCTCACCCACGTGCTTGAGACGGTCGAACTCATGCTCCAAGTCCAGCGACACTGGCTCTACCTCGAGAACATTTTCATGGGCCCCGGTGGCGAGATCCGGCGCCAGCTCCCGACGGCTTCGCAGATGTTCCAAAGCGTCGACTCGAACTGGCGCATCGTCATGGAGCGGCTGTCGAAGAACCCGAACGCCAAGGACGGGACCCACATGGACGGCCTCTCGGACCTGCTCTTCCGCATGAACAAGGACCTCGAGACCATCCAAAAGTCGCTCGACCAGTACTTGGAGACTAAGCGGGTCCAGTTCCCACGGTTCTACTTTCTCTCCGACGACGAGCTCCTCGAGATCCTCGGCTCGACGTCGGCGTCGTCGGGCGACGCGCCCGGCGGACCCGGCACCAAGAAGCCGGTCGAGCCCATCCAGAAGCACATCAAAAAGTGCTTTGAGGGAATCCAGACGCTCGACTTTATGGTCAAAGATGCTCGCAAGATTGCGTACGGCATGAACTCGCCCGACGGCGAGAACGTGGCCTTCTCCAAGCCGGTCTACGCCGAGGGTCCGGTCGAGGAGTGGCTCCGTCACATCGAGGACATGATGCAGACGACGCTCATCAACGATCTGAAGAAGACCCACGCCGCCGTCCGCAAGCACCGGCGCGGCACGTTTGAGTCGCTGCTCGCGGCCTGGCCGGGGCAAGCGCTCATCACCGCGTCGCAGATCATTTGGACTGCGGCGTGCGAGCGCCACATTGCCGACTATGCCGCCGGTGAGAAGAAGGCGCTGCGCAACCTGCGTTCCAAGCAGCGGCGGACTGTGCAGCGGCTCGTCGACACGGTCATGGGCCCCATCTCGCGGCTGGAGCGTAAGAAGCTTGTCGCACTCCTCACCATCGAGGTCCATGCCCGCGAAGTCGTCGACAAGATTGTCAAGCTGGGCACCCGCGACCTGTCTGACTTTGACTGGCAGCAGCAGCTTCGCTTCTACTGGGACGACAAGAACCGGCTCTGCCTTGTGCGACAGACGCTCGCCACCTTTGTGTACGGCTACGAGTACCTCGGCAACTCGGGCCGCCTTGTTGTCACCGACCTCACCGACCGGTGCTACATGACGCTCACAACGGCGCTGCATCTGCAAAAGGGTGGCAACCCGCAGGGTCCGGCTGGAACAGGCAAGACCGAGACGGTCAAGGACCTCGGCAAGGCGCTCGCCAAGTATGTTATGGTCTTCAACTGCTCCGAAGGCCTCGACTACAAGTCGCTCGAGCGCCTCTTCTCTGGCCTCGCCCAGACCGGGGCCTGGTCGTGCTTTGATGAGTTCAACCGTATCGAGATTGAGGTGCTCTCGGTCGTCGCCCAGCAAATCTCATCCATCCTTGCCGCCATCCACCTCTTTGCCCAGTCATCGGGTTCGGGCTCGGGCTCGGGCTCGGGCGCGGTAGCGGGGGGCGGCGCCGGCGCCGCAGTTGCTGGCGGTGGCGACAGCGGCGATACAGGGCCATCGGCTGCGAGCGCGAGCAGCGGTGGCGACGCTGGAGCGAGTGGCGGTAGCGGCCAGAGCGGGCCGGACGGCGGCGCGCCCGAGTGGCACATCAAGTCGCCGACCAACTTTTTCTTCACCTTTGAGGGCAAGAAGATCCGGCTCGAGCCGACGTGTGGTATTTTCGTGACGATGAACCCCGGCTATGCCGGGCGGTCCGAGCTCCCGGACAACCTCAAGGCGCTGTTCCGGCCGATCTCGATGATGGTGCCGGACTCTGCGGCGATTGCCGAGATCATGCTCTATGCCGAGGGCTTTAGGCAGGACGGGCTCGCGCGCAAGATCACGACGCTGTACAAGCTCGCCAAAGAGCAGCTCTCGCAGCAGGACCACTACGATTTTGGCCTCCGCGCCATCAAGTCGGTTCTGGTCATGGCCGGAGCGCTCAAGCGGTCGGGCGCGGTCGAGGACGAACAGGAGGTGCTGCTGCGGGCACTGACGGACATGAACCTGCCCAAGTTTGTGGCCGACGATGTCCCGCTCTTCCTCGCCATTCTCTCGGACCTGTTCAACGAGACAACGCTGACGCCGGTCGAGTACGGTCCGCTGGAGGTCGCCATCCGGGCGGCGCTGGCGGACGCCGGCCTGCAGGCGACGCCGGCGATCATCACAAAGATCGAACAGCTGTACGAGACGAAGAAGACCCGACATGGCGTCATGATTGTGGGAGAGACTGGTTCGGCCAAGACGGCGGCGTGGCGGGCGCTCGAGACTGCGCTCAACACGCTGGCGTCGGGCGTGATCGATGTCGGCAGTTCGGAGACACCGTTTTGCAAGGTGCAGAGCGTGGTGCTCAACCCCAAGGCGGTCGACCATCCGAACGACCTCTACGGGTACTACAACATCTCAACTCGCGAGTGGACGTACGGCATTCTCTCGCACATCATCACACGAGTGTGCGAGATGGACTCGCCTGACGAGCGGTGGGTGGTCATGGACGGGCCGGTCGACACGCTGTGGATTGAGTCGATGAACACGGTGCTCGACGACAACAAGATGCTCACGCTCAACAACGGACAGCGGATTACCATTCCAGACAAGGTCTCACTCTTGTTCGAGGTACCGGACCTGGCGGTGGCGTCGCCGGCGACGGTCTCGCGGTGCGGCATGGTGTACATGGATACCAAGGATCTGGGGTGGAGGCCGCTGGTGGCGTCGTGGCTGGCGCATGTAGCCCCGGCCAAGGCCGCGCCGCTGCTGGAGAAGCTCTTCGATAAGTACGTCGACCCGCTGCTGGCCTTTGTCAAGTCGTCGTGCTCGTCGCTTGTTGCTGTCTCGGAGCTCAACATGGTTGCCGCGCTCTGCGACCTGTACGAGGCGCTAGCCACGCCGGCCAACGGCGTGAACCCCGACGACGAGGACTACTACAAGCGGATGGTGGAGCTGTGGTTCCTCTTCTCGCTCATCTGGTCGCTCGGGGGGTCGCTTGACCAGCCGTCGCGAAAGCTGCTGGACATGGAGCTGCGGCAGATCGAGGGCCAGTTTCCGGCCAAGGACACCGTCTTTGAGCACTACGTCGACGTCAAGTCGAAGAATTGGGCCCACTGGTCCGAGCTCATTCCGCAGGGCTGGCGGTATCCTGCCGACGCGCCGTTCCACACCATCATTGTGCCAACGGTCGACACCCTCCGCAACACTTTCCTCATCAAGGCGCTGCTGATGGCCGACAAGCGACCGATGCTGGTGGGCGAGACCGGAACCGGCAAGACGTCGGCGGTCAAGGCCGTGCTGAGCGACCGGTCGCTCGCGGAGCGGTATTCGAGCATGACCATCAACTTCTCGGCGCGGACCAACGCGGCGCGGACCATGGCCATCATCGAGGATGCGGTGGAGAAGCGGACCAAGGACACGTACTACCCCAAGGGCGGCAAGCGGATGCTCTGCTTCATTGACGAGTTCAACATGCCGCAGAAGGAGGAGTTTGGCGCCCAGCCGCCGCTCGAGCTCATCCGGCAGTGGATTGACCTCGGGTTCTGGTACGACAAGGTTCACCAGTCGCAGAAGAAGATCCGTGACATGCGGCTGGTGGTGGCCATGGGTCCGCCGGGCGGCGGGCGGAACACGGTCGATCCGCGGATTATGGCCCGGTTCAACGTCCTCAACATTGTCTTTCCGTCGGATACTCAGCTCCGGCGCATTTTCTCGGTCCTCCTCGGCCAAAAGCTGCAGGACTTTGAGGAGACGATCAAACCGCTCGGCGAGGTCATGGTCTCTGCCACGCTCGAGCTGTACAACTTTGTGACGGCGACGTTCCTCCCGCGGCCGGCGAGCTCACACTACCTGTTCAACCTCCGCGATCTGTCCAAGGTCTTCCAGGGCCTCCTCCGGGCACATCGGTTCTTCTACGACGAGAAGGACTCGATCATCAAGCTCTGGGTCCACGAGAACTTCCGCGTCTTCCACGACCGCCTCAACTGTGCAGCCGACCGCGAGGCGTTCCGCTCCGAGATGAGCGACAAGCTCCTGACCCGGTTCTCGGTCTCGTGGACAAAGCTCTTTGGCCGGCCCGAGGTCGACCCGCTGTTTGGCGACTTTATGCGGACGTCGTCGACCGACGAGGACGTCTACCAGGAAATTGCGGACAAGGCCGCGCTGCGCGAGTTCATGGAGGAGCGCCTGAGCGACTACAATGACCAGCTCTCGGTTGTTCCGATGGATCTTGTCCTGTTTGACGATGCTATTGCGCACGTGACGCGGCTGGTCCGCGTCCTCAAGCAGCCGTTTGGCCACTGCCTCATTATCGGCGTGGGCGGGTCGGGCCGGTCGTCGCTCACACGGCTTGCCACGTTTGTGGCCGAGTACTCGCTGTTCCAAGTCGAGGTTCGCAAGGTCTACCGGCTGCCCGAGTTCCACGACGATCTCAAGAAGCTGTACAACGCGACAGGCGTGAGCAACATTCCCACTGTCTTCCTCTTCTCGGACACCGAGGTGGTCGAGGAGGGCTTCCTCGAAGACATCAACAACATGCTCTCATCGGGCGAGGTGCCGAACCTGTTTGCGCCGGACGAGCTCAACGCCATCCGCGACGCGATCCGCCCGGATGCGCTTGCAGCTGGCGTCATCGACTCGCACCCGACGCTGTGGGCGTTTTTCATGGAGCGGGTGCGAGCGAACCTGCACATTGTCATTACCATGTCGCCGGTGGGCGAGGCGTTCCGCAACCGGCTGCGGATGTACCCGGCACTTGTGGCATGCACCACCATCGACTGGTACTCGCAGTGGCCGCTCGACGCACTCGGCGAGGTTGGTGCCAAGTACCTTTCGGACATTGATGTCGGCTCGCCAGAGACCGAGGCGGCGCTAGCCTCGGTCTTTGTTGACGTCCACGCCTCGGTCCAAGCAGCGTCGGCGGACATGGAGGCGACAATGTCGCGGGTCAACTACGTGACGCCGTCGGCGTTCCTGGAGCTGGTCACCGGGTACGTGGCACTCCTGAGCGAGAAGCGGACGGTGCTCAACGATGCGGCCAACAAGCTCCGCAACGGTTTGCTCAAGCTCCAGCAGACACGCGAGGACGTCGAGGCGATGTCAGTCGAGCTGGAGGAGACCAAGGCCATGGTCTCGGTCATGCAGAAAGAGTGCGAGGAGTTCCTGGTCATGATTGTGCAGCGGCGGCGCGAGGCGAACGAGCAGGCCAAGCAGGTCGGCGCGGACCAGGAGCGCATTGCCGCTGAGGAGATCGAGGTGCAGGCCAAGGCTGCGGCGGCACAGGAGGTGCTCGACGAGTCGATGCCTGCGCTGCAGGCCGCCGAGGAGCAGCTGAAGTTCCTCAAAAAGGAGCATCTTGCCGAGCTGCGGGCGTTCCCAATCCGCCGGCGATGGTGCGCAAGGTGATGGAGGCGGTCATGGTGCTGCTCAAGTGCGAGCCGTCGTGGGGCGAGGCGAAGCGGCAGCTGGCGCAATCAGACTTTATCACGCGTGTCCTCAACTACCCCAAGGACTCGATTCCAGAGTCTGTAATGAGGAAGATTGGTCGACTGCTGGCGGACCCCAACTTTGCGCAGGATAAGATCAAGAAGGTGTCGTACGCTGCGGCGCTGCTCGCGGGCTGGGTGCGGTCGATGGAGACGTACGGCAAGGTCTATCGCGACGTGCTGCCCAAGAAGATGGCAGTGAAGGAGGCGTCGGAGATTCTGAAGAAGAAGCAGAGCGACTTGCGCGAGGCGCAGGCGCAGCTTGAGTCGCTCAACACCACCATGGCCGAGCTCAAGAAGGAGCACGACGAGCGGTCGCAGCAGCGCGACGCGCTGGCCCGACAGGCGGCCGAGACTGAGACCAAGCTCAACCGCGCGGACAAGCTGGTGAACGGACTCTCTGGCGAGCGCGAGCGATGGGAGACAGCGATTGCGTCTTACGAGGAGCAGATCCAGCTGCTGGTTGGCGACTGCCTCATGGCGTCTGCTTTTTTGGCGTACGCCGGTCCGTTTACCTCGGACTACCGTGAGTCGCTGCTTGCGTCATGGGCCAAGTCTGTGGCGGCAACCAAGATTCCGGCGAGCGGCGACTTTTCGTTTGCGGACTTTCTCTCCAAGGCCACCGAGGTGCGGCAGTGGAACATTTTCAAGCTTCCGTCGGACTCGTTCTCGACCGAGAACGGAGTGCTGGTGACGCGCGGGCGGCGGTGGCCGCTCATGATTGACCCGCAGGGCCAGGCCAACGCGTGGATTAAGAACCTGGAGAAGAAGGCGCATCTCATTGTGCTGGACCTCTCGATGTCCGATTACATGTCGCGGATTGAGTACGCCATCAAGCAGGGCACGCCGGTCCTGCTCGAGAACATTGGGACGGAGCTGGACCCTGCGCTGGACCCTGTGCTCGCGCGCGATGTCATCAAGCGCGGCGCGTCAATGACGCTCAAGCTCGGCGACACAGAGGTGGAGTACAACCCTGACTTTAGGTTTTACATGACGACAAAGCTGCCGAACCCGGTGTACTCGCCCGAGCTGGCGGCCAAGACGACGATGGTCAACTTTGCGGTGAAGGCCAAGGGGCTGGAGGACCAGCTGCTCGGGTATGTTGTGCGTGCGGAGCAGCCCGTGCTGGAGAAGCAGAAAGAGCGGGTGGTGATCAACACGGCTGCCGGACGGAAGCGGCTGGAGGAGCTCGAAGACGAGATTCTTCGGCTGCTGGACACCGCCAAGGGCTCGCTGCTCGACGACGAGAAGCTGGTTGATGCGCTGCAGTCATCAAAGACGACTGCCGAGTCGATCAAGGTCCAGCTTGCCGAGTCTGAAGAGACGGAAGTCCGGATTGATGTTCTCCGTGAGGCGTACCGGCCGTCTGCAAAGCGTGCTGCTATTCTGTTCTTTGTCCTGCTCGACCTCTCGCGGGTCGATCCGATGTATCAGTTCTCGCTCGACACGTACATCGACTTGTTCTGCAAGTCGATCGTCGCGTCGCGAAAGGCATCGACGTCGGACGGCGAGGGCACAGGCGGGAGTGGCGGGCTGGGCGGCGGGCCTTCGGGTCTCCTCGGCGGAGCCGGCAAGTCAGCGTCGGGAGCCGGGCTGGACGTCATGGCGATGCCCGGGGCGGACGGCGGCGAGGGGCCGGGCGCAGGGAGCGGCTTTGGCGGCGCGACGCGTGCCGAGATTGCCGAGGCTGTGGCCGAGCGGGTGGAGGCGATTAACGAGTTCCACACGTACGCGGTGTACTGCAACACGTGCCGCGGGCTGTTTGAGAAGCACAAGCTCCTGTTCTCGTTCCACATGACGGTACGGATTCTTGGCGGCGACGAGAAGATTTCGCTGCCCGAGTACGACTTTCTCCTCCGCGGCGGCCAGGTGCTTGACAAGGAGCTCCAGCCGGCGAACCGGTGCCGCGAGTGGCTGCCTGAGCAAAAGTGGGACCACATTACGGAGCTTGACAAGCTGCCTGCCTTTGCGGGGCTTATCCACTCGTTCGAGCAGCACGGACGCGAGTGGCGGCGATGGTACGAGTCTGCCGAGCCGGAGGAGGAGACGCTGCCTGGCGAGTGGGGTCATAACCTCAACGATCTGCAAACGATGATTATTTTGCGGTGCCTGCGTGTGGACCGGCTCAATTTTGCGCTGACCAAGTTCATCACGGCATCGCTCTCGTCGCAGGGCCAGTACGTGGAGCCACCGACGCTGGATCTCGCGGCGGCGTTCCGGGACTCGTCGCCGACGATCCCGCTCATCTTTGTGCTCTCGCCGGGAGTGGACCCGTCGTCTGCGCTGCAGCAGCTTGTGGAGGAGCGCGGGATGAAGGGTAAGTTCCGGGCGCTTGCGCTCGGGCAGGGCCAGGACGCCAACGCGGCGTCTGCAATTGCGCAAGCGATGGACAAGGGTCACTGGGTCTTCCTCGCCAACTGTCATCTGATGATCAACTGGCTGCCGATACTGGAGAAGATTGTGCTCTCGCTGGAAGCAGCCGAGCCACACGCCGACTTTAGGCTGTGGCTCTCGTCCAAGCCGTGCGACGGGTTCCCGATTTCTGTCCTGCAGCGGTCTGTCAAGATGACGACCGAGCCGCCACAGGGTCTCAAGGCGAACCTCAACCGGCTGCTGACGGGCGTGGTGACCGAGTCGATGCTGGAGGGCTGCTCCAAGTCGGGCTCGTTCAAGAAGCTCCTCTTTGCGCTCTGTTGGTTCCACTCGCTCCTCCTGGAGCGGCGCAAGTTCCTTACGCTCGGCTTCAACATCCCGTACGACTTTAACGACTCGGACTTTCACGTCTCTGCACAGCTGCTCTCTGTGTATCTGGACCTGGCCAAGGCCGGGACGACGCCTTGGGATGCGCTCAAGTACCTCATTGCCGAAGTCAACTACGGCGGGCGTGTCACGGACGCGCGCGACCGGCGGCTGGTGCGGGTCTACATGAAGGAGGTGTTCCGACCGGACGTGTTGACCGAGCCGATGGCGCCGCTGGTGCCGCACCTCTCGCTGTACTACGTGCCGGAAGATGGGCCGCTCAGCTCGTACCGCAAGTACGTGGCGACGCTGCCGCACGTCGACCGCCCGGAGGCGTTTGGGCAGCACACCAACGCGGGCATCTCGTCGCAGATCAAGACCTCGGAAGAGCTACTGGCGACGTTGGTTTCGCTCCAGCCGCGGGTGGCGGTGTCGGGTGCACCGTCGCGCGAGTCTGTGGTCCTCCACATGGCGGAGGACATCCTGGAGCGACTTCCGCTGGAGATTGTGATCGAAGACGCCGCGGTGTCGTCCACCATGTCTGGCGAGCCGCATCCGCTCGAGGTGGTGCTGGTGCAAGAGGTGGGCCGGTACAACAAGCTGCTGCGTGTGATGCGCGCGTCGCTGGAGGAGCTTGTGGACGGGATCAACGGACTGGTGGTCATGTCGACAGAGATGGATGAGACGTTCTCGTACATGTTTGATGGGCGTGTGCCGCCGGCATGGTCGTTTGCGTACCCATCGCTCAAGCCGCTGGCGTCATGGACGCGCGATCTTGCCGACCGGATCTCCATGTTCCAGAACTGGGCGCTCGGCGAGGTGCCGCGGACGTTCTGGCTCGGTGGCTTTACCTTCCCAGCGGGCTTCCTCACCGCGCTGCTGCAGACGTCTGCTCGCAAGAACAACGTGGCAATTGACGCGCTCTCGTGGGAGTTTGTGGTCCTCTCACCGGCCGACTCTGCGGCGGTGCTCGAGCCGCCGATCGAGGGCGCGTACATCTCGGGGCTCATGCTCGAGGGTGCGGGATGGGATCCGACGGGCTCGCTTGTGGAGCCGCGGCCGATGCAGCTTGTCTCGCCGATGCCGCTCGTCCACTTTAAGCCGGTCATTACCAAGAAGCGCGCGTCGAAGAAGGAGAGCTACCCGTGCCCGGTGTACGTGTACCCGTGGCGGGCAGCCGACGGATGCTTCCTGCTCAACGTCGACCTGCGGTGCTCGAAGAATGCCGACTGGTGGATCAAGCGCGGCGCGGCGCTGCTGCTTTCGCTGGCAGAGTGAGTAAAGTTCCTGCGCCAGACACTGAGCTTAGTGAGGGCCGGTCGGCCGCGGGCGCCGTCCGCGAGTGGACGGCGGGGCGCGGCCGGGGGCGCGTCGAGGACGGTCGCGAGCAGCGTTGCGCTGGGCTGGGTGAGAAGCGCGAGGAACGTTGCGAGGAGCGCGGGCGCCACGACCGCGGCCGCGACCACGGCCTCGGCCACGACCGCGGCTGTTGGGGTGGGAGGCAGGGGTGCGACCGCGGGAGCGGGTGCCTGCGGCGTCCGAAGCGAGTGATGACGATGATGACGACGACGACGATGACGAGGTAGAGAGGTGATTGCGGGCGCGCTTGGTAAGTGCAGAGCCAACAATGACTTGGGACGAGTCGAGGAGAGTGTTGTCAACATCGTTACCTACGGCCTCATTGGTGGCACGGTCGGCAACGTCGATGATCCAAACAAGCAGTGTGTAGGCGATGAGGAGGAGGGCGTAGATGATGACAAAGCCCTCTTCGGTCTTGGGCACAATGTCGCCGTAGCCCGTGGATGACGAGACGATGAGCGAAGCGTACATGGCGTCGCGGTAGCGGGTGATGATGCCGCGCTCGGTGTAGCGAAGGCCACCGGCAGCGGCGCAGTTGATGGCAAAGAAGCCGACGAGGCCGAGGAAGACCTGGGCGGCAAAGGAGGTCTTGACCCAGTCACGGGTGGCCGCGTAACGCGACTTGGATGGGCGGGCCAGGCTCTCGGCGGAGAGGCCGGGTGCGAGCGCTGCAATGGATGGCTGGCTGTGCGGGGCATCAATGGCGAGAACGTGGCCTGAGGCTTGGGCGACAAGCTGGGCCTCGAGCTCATGGGCCTCGGCCTTACGGCGGAGGAGCTCACGCTTGAAGACAAGCGAGCGCTCCACCGAGAGCTGAGCGACGACCGAGATGACGGAGAAGAGGACGCCGACGGCAAAGAGGGCAAAGGCCATGGTGAGAATCTTTCCGACGTCGGTCTTCGGGACGCGGGTGCCGAGACCAAGTGTCGATGCGGTCTCGAGGGCAAAGGCGACGCCGGCGAGATAGGTCCAGCCCTCCTGGAGCGAGATGAGGCCGCCCACAAGGATGAGTGCAACTGTAAGGGCGAGGGCGATGACAAGCTGGACCTGGAACTTGCCCTGGCGGGTGGTGACACAAGCACGGAGCTTGTGGCGGAGCGAGGCCCAGCAGTGGGTGTCGGCGGGACTTGCCGAGTTGTTGGCAGCATCGGGCATTGGCTTGGATGCGGCAGCAACGAGCGCATACTTGGTGAGGAGGCCGAGCGACTTGTCCATGAGCAGCGAGAGGGCGTAGGCGCCAAAGCCGAGGAGAAGAAACGCGTAGGGGATAAAGACGATGCGGCCGGTCTTTGTGGCAGGTGCAATGTCACCGTAGCCGATGGTGAAGAGGGTGATGACGGCCCAGTAGAAAGCGTCGAGCAGGCGCCAGTCCTCGATGTGGGCAAAGGCGAGGGTGCCGCCGACGACAAGAACGCCAAGAACGGCAAAGGCGAGGATGACCTCGAGCAGGTCCTTGTTGAGCGCACGGCGGAGCGCGTTGCCGATCATGGACATGTCCATGACCGGGAGGCCCGAGGCGGAGAGAACCTTGACCTCGATGGCGTCGCCGTGGCGGCGAATGGCGATTTTGAGACGCGGGTTGGGCACAAGCGCGGTCGTGTCCGAGTCGAGCGCCGACGATGCGGAAGAGACCGACGACGAAGTCGTCGACGCCGACGGCGGTGGAGCGCGAAGGTACATGTCTGCGGCGTCGTCAGAGAGCGTGAGCGGGACGTTGATCGGGTACCAGGCATCGGGTGGGGTCTGGGAGAGAGAATTAGTTC